CGTCGTGCCTTGGCAGTCTCGACGTTCGGCTCCCTCGCCCCGCTGCCGCGCTGGCGCTGCTGGCCTCGGCGTCTCCCGGTGGCACAAGGCCGCGCCCAGCGCCCGCCTCCCGCCCCAGACCAAAAGGATTGGTTTGCTGGGTGGGACCTCTCGGTTCTCTCCTCCCCTCCCGCCAAGCCAAAATATTTAGCCTGACAACTGAGGGGAAGACAGGTCTGTTGGGGAAATAAGGCCAAAATACAGGGGGATGGTAGGCCAAGAACAGAGCTCCCCCCCAACCCCGCTGTAGCTCCCTTGGGTCCCCCCTCCCTCGTCTCTGCGGACTTCTCTTAAGTGGGGCTGCATCGTTGGCCGGAGCGCCATCGAGCAGCCAGTCCCCTGGGGAGGGACGGTTCTAGGTTCTGCCACCCGGTGACTTGACACCTGCAGGGTAACTTCTGGCAGCCGCGACCCGGTGAGCTTGAAACCTGGCGGGAATGCGAATTGTCTCTGGACTAGTCAAGCCCTTCACCTCTCGGAGCCCCTCTCAACCTCCCAGGAGGACACCGCGTCCTCTTTTGGGCGCAAGGCTCCGTCCCAGCCAAGTCCCTTGGTTCCAAACAAAATCCTTGCGGAGAGGGCAAGAGGTCCCTGCCTCTCTCGGTCACCTTCTTGAATTCAGGCTGCTCAGTTGGTCGGTCTGTCTGTCTCTGTCTCTGTCTTGAGGGACGGTCCGTGCAAGGTCCCTGGCGGAGAGAACTCTCCTCTCCGAAGGCTTCCTTCGCTGGCTCCTTGGGGGCCCTTTTCTGCCCTCCCGCTTCCAAGAGTCCCTCCTCCAGGACCCCCCATTCCTCTTCCTTTCCCCGATCTGAGGCCCGCGGGGTGGAGGGACTGGGATCTGCCCTCTGGAGGGTGCTGGGGACCCGAGGCTTTCTGGGTGTGCAGCCTCCTAGGACCGACGGGTCCTCAACTCCGCCCGCGGGCGGCTCCCGCGTCCGAGGAGCTAAGAGAAGATCTATTAATTTCTCCGTGCAGAAATCGATGCTCTTGTCAGAGGTACGATCGATGCCAACTCAGTCCAGCTTGGCCCTACCTGGCCTGGGGGCCAGTACTGGCTGGCTGGGGTCAGAGGCTGACGCTGGGTCGCGAGGCGCCGTGCTGTGGGGGCTGCAGAGCGCGCCCCTACCCACCCAACCCCCGCCGAGCTCACACCTTTGCGTGCGGGCTTCTAGCGCCACCCTGTGGTCTCTCATGGAAATAGGCGTCTCGGCTCCCCAGTCTACGTTCTCCGGCTCTTTGGGGACGACACCTTTCCTTTCTCTGTCTCTTCTGTGTTTTCCGTCCCCAGGTCCTGTGTTTGGTCTTTTCGGGGCCCCTTCCCATTTCTTTCTAGGGTTTAGAGAGTGTTTTATCTAATTTATCCCAAATGACATACACACTCCATCAGGCACGCATATTACAAGGAGTGAGATCTGAGGCTAGGGGCTGGCTTGGATGACCTGGAGGGCAACATTTCCCAAGCTCAGTCGTCTTCCCTCCCCCCTAAATGCAGCTGCTTTAGGCTGGGAAGAATAATGTATCAACTTCCCAGTCCCCCCACCCCACCCCAGCAGCACCTCTGTGGCCGCATCTCC